AGGCTTAAACAGAATAGTAATTGCTGCATAACTACTGTACATTGCAATTGGTTACGAATTGGTCAAAATGCCTAATTTTCAAAAAAATCTATGCGGAAATCGGCCCTTATTTCCAGAAATGACGGATTTATAGGCCAAATTTTTGTGCGGATGATAGGCCATAGGTCCTATAACTATGTTCCTGCACAGACAGGTCTTGCCTACTAGTACAGTCTGGAATCTGGCCTGTACGACAGTACACACACATCATCAATAATACATATGAGGCCTGTCGTGGAAAAATGGTTAAGTTGTCGCACAGGCCAGTATTGAGTAAATGATCTTTAAAATATGGGAGCTCAAAAAATTGCCAAAAAATCCGAAATTGTTTTTCACTACAAATCAATAGTTTAATGTCTTGTTAATGTCCCAAAGTATTAGTGGTCAACAAATCGTTTATTTAATGTTATTTTGATAGTTAATTCTATTAAACAATGTATGCACAATTAACTTTGAAAGGCAATTACTCAAAATCATGTTTATCTTGACTCTATGAGTGCTGTACTTTCATTTTCCAATAACTTAGGCTTGAAATGTCCAATTTCAATGAATGACCCCTCATTTTAAAGATCAAATACTCGGGTATCTGAAAATACCAATATCTTAAAAAATTGTTGCTACAACTTAGCCATTTTGCCACAACACGCCTCATATAACAATCACAACGAACACACAACACAAAACATGTTGGTCAGAGACTCGGTCCAGGGCAAGAGCACAAGCTAGGCTAGGCCTCCTCTCTAGGATTGCTACCACTCACTAGAAGAACTACACTAGATCGAGGCCTAGGCCTAGCCCTAACTAAGCAGCTAGGCCTAGGCCTAGCTAGCTAGGGAGTGTGATGCCTAGGCTGGCCCTAGAGTTAATCAGGCAACAATCAAGAGATAATTTGCACTCAATTAAGTACAGATGAACACATAAGCCTACTTTGTACCTTCGTTTGTCGCAGCCAATTTGTTACTTTCTTTTTTTCTCCAATTAATTCTGCAAAGAGCAAAGATTCAGCGATGACATAAAAAGATAAAATTAAAAGATCATTCATTGATCAATTGTGTTGTGGCTGGTAGTTACGTTACATTTCGCGTTCCACGTTGATCGCGTCAACGTTAAGTTAACGCAAAAATATTTATGTGATAATACAGTTAACAATATATTTATATATTCAAATTATACAGGGGGAGGGCGAAGCAAAGGAGGAACAACGTTCCTATACAT